CTCTCTCCCTTCTCTCTCCCCTCCTTTCTCTCTTCCCCCCTCTTTCCTTCCTCCTCTCCCTTTTCTTTTCTCCTCTTCTCTCTCCCCCTCCTCTCCCCTCCTTTCTCCGATCCCCTCTCCTCCCTCTCTCTTCCCTTCTTCTCTCCCCCTCTTTTTCCCCTCCTCCTTTCTCTCTCCCTCTCTCCTTATTCCTTTCTCTCTCCCCCTCTCTCCCCTCCTTTTCTCTCTCCCCTCCTTTCTCCTCTCACCTCCTTTCTCTCTCCCCTCCTCTTCTCTCTCCCCCTCTCTATTCCCTTCTCCTTTCTCTCTTTCTCCTTCCTTTCCTCCTTCTCTTCTCCTTTGTCTCTCTCTTCTCCCTCCTTTTTCTCTCTCTTTCTTCCTCCTTTTTCATCCTTCCTTCTCTCCTTCCCCTCCTTCTGCCTTCTTCTTCCCTATTCCTTTCTCCTCCTTTCCTTCCTCCTCCTGTCACTTCCCTATTTCTCGTTTCCTCCTTCCTCTCCCCTACTCTCCTTCTTCCTTTTTCTACTTTTCCTCCTTCCTCTTCCCTTTCCCTCTCTCCTTCTTCTTTTACTTCTCATCTTTCTGCTTCCTCTCCCTCTCCTCTCTTCTTCTACCTTCTCTCCTCCTTCCCTCTCCTCTTTCCTCTTTCTTGTTCCTTCTCTACTTCTCCTCCTTTCCTCTTCCTCTCCTCCCTCACTTTCCAATTTACTCCCCCTCACCTCCTTTCTGTCCCTTTTTCTTTCTCCTCTCCCCCTCCCTTCTTCTTTTCCTCCTTTTCCTTCTCTTCCCCCCACCCCCCCCCCCCCCCCCATCTTCCTCTTCTACTCTCATCTATATCTCCTTCTCCTTTCTCTCTCTTCCCCTCTTCTATCCTGTCCCTCTCTCATTTTCACTTTATCTAACCTCTTCTACCCTGGAGACATTCACTAATTTGTTTGATTCATTTCATTTATTCCTCTTATTGCAGGGTGGATATGATCAGAAGATGCCAGTGATTGTGTCTCGGGTGGCCCCAGGGACATCGGTAGGTCTCCTTTTAGTGTACTGGTTGTTTGGGTCACATTGATCCTGGTTGCTCACGACTCCTGTTTTGCACATGGAGTACAGATCTCCCAGACTCACAGATGTCACTGGCTCCTAAAGAACTGACAGACCGTATTCTCTGACCTGCTGTGTCTGTGCTGCATGAGCTCTTTTACTATCCTAAAAGCAAATGTATTTGACTTGGCTTTATTGCATCTTAAGTTTGTCTCATCTTTCCCCTCATACAGGCTGACCTGTGTGTCCCACGTCTAAATGAAGGGGATCAGGTTGTACTGATCAACGGACGGGACATTTCTGAGCATTACGCATGATATGACCAGGTTGTCATGTTTATCAAGGCGAGCTGTGAGAGGCACTCGGGAGAGCTTGTTTTGCTGGTCAGCCTAATGGTGAGTACAAGTATAAATCTGCACTTACACTATGGGCAAGGATTTTATTAATACCTATCCTCTCCATCACGACCAACAACGCCACCATCAGTCCCAACCCACAAGCCAAAGTCCTAGGTGTCACTCTAGACTCCAATCTGTCCTTCCAACCCCATGTCCAATCGCTGGCAAATTCATGCAGACTCCACCTCCGCAACATCTCCAGAATACGTTCGTTCCTAAACCCAGAAACTACTAAACTACTCGTTCACTCCCTTATTATCTCACGACTCAACTACTGCAACTCCCTCCTCACCGGCCTACCCCAACACAGACTATCCCCGCTTCAAGTCTATCCTGAACTCAGCGGCCAGACTCATCCACCTTACCAACCGCTCCGCATCTGCCACCCCCCCTCTGCCAATCCCTCCACTGGCTTCCGATTGCCCAACGCATTAAATTCAAATTAATAACATTGACGTACAAAGCCATTCATAACGCTGCCCCAAACTACCTCACTGACCTGATACCCAAATACCACCCAACCCGTAATCTTCACTCCTCACAAGACCTCCTACTTTCTAGTTTCCTAGTCTCCTCCTCCCATGTCCGACTCCAGGACTTCCCCCATCCTCTGGAACTCACTACCCCAACCCATCAGGCTGTCACCTACCCTCCTCACCTTTATGCGCACCCTGAAAACCCATCTCTTCAGGGAAGCCTACCCCACCCCCTGCTAACTTGTCGACCCCCTCCACTCCTCCTACCACTCCATCCCCCACAGCCACTTCCTCCTGTACCACTACCCCCTCCCTCCTAGATTGTAAGCTCGACAGAGCAGGGCCCTCGTACCCCTCGTGTTTTGTATTGTCACTGTATTGTCTCATGTACTGTCCCCCTTTATTTAAGACGAAGTATGGCCAAAGCTATCTTGGCTATACTTCTATGGATCACGGGAGTGCAGTTGGTTCTACACTTCTGTAACCCATTTTCAGCCAACAGCAGGCTAAAGCTCGCTGTCGGTTGACATCACTCCCAACCTGGGTGGATCCCAACTTTAATTTCGGGATCCACCCAGATTCCCGGACCGGGAGCTGGGTCAGTGAGCCGCTGAGAGCCTGAGCTAGCTACTCCTGACACCTGCACAGTCCGGTGCTCCAGTGAGCGCTGGAGGTGCAGAGGAGAACACCAGTGACTGTCAGCCACCGATCTGCTCAGAGCAGATGGGAGAACTGAGAGATCATCGGTCTTTGATCGCTCAGTTCTCAGTGTAGAGCCGGCGGGGAACATGATGCTGCATCCACCTAGGTGAGTATAAATGTTTTTCTAAAGTCCAAATGTACCTTCCTTTCCTCAGAAAAAGTTTGGTTAATAATATATGCACAGCTCCAAGTACATCAACATGATCAGTAAGTTGTAGATATAATCATAAAAACAATGCTCTGTATAACCATGAAACCAATGATATAAATCCAGAAAAGAAAAGCAGACAGTGAAAACTGCAATGTCCCCTTAAATTGGTGGTCAGTGGAACGAGGGACCCCCTCATCTTGGTGAACAGTTGAAGAATGTCCTTTGCATTATTGATCAGTAGATAAGATCTTCCCTTACTCTGGTGGTCAGCAGAGAAGGGCCCCTTAGATTTATACGAGTAAGACAAGGGTCCTCACATTGGTGGAATGTTGGCGTAAGAATGTTCTTCATAATAGAGACTAGTCAAGGACCCCCTAGCAAGCTCTGGAGGAACCCTGGATAATAAAGTCTGATTAAAGGAATAACTTGAAAATTACAGGGTTTTATTTTAAACTGTGTGTCCCTTACTTTTCCTTTGCTTCCTGGTAGGGCCGTCTTAATAGCATAATGGGCCCTTGGGCAAAGTAATACACTGGGGCCCCTACCAGCCTGCCCCAATTTACACTCCTACACTCAAAAAGTAAAGTATAAATAGTGGATAGAATTAAACATATATTTATTAGTACTTTCAATAAAATTTATTTTAAACAATAAGAAAACATGCCATAATCAAAGACTAATGACCACAAAAGACACAGTACTGGGGGAGGCAAAAGGCACAGTACAGGGGGAGTCAGGAGGGCACAACACTGGAATCAGGAGGGAACAGTACAGGTTCTGGGATGCTGCCCGGGCCATCCCAGGACAGCTTTGTAAAAAGTGTGACTGTCCCAACAAATCCGGGACAGTTGGCAAGTATGATGTAATGCAAGATTATCATGGGGCCTCCATTTACCTGGATTCCCATGCATTAAGACAGCCCTGAGTCCTGGCATGGAGGCAGAACTCCAATAAATCCAGGAAATATGAGGCTGTCTCTCCAATGTGATGGAATTCTCCTCTTATTCAGTTGTCTTTGGAACTTTGCAGGTACATTCACTGCTTCTGTTCCTCTCTGTGGGTTCACAATTGGACACCAATTCCTCTCTGTGGTGTCACATTAGACACCAAAAGTATATGGTACAATGTAATATACAGAACAATTTGCCCCCTTAAAGTAACAAAATAAATAATAACGGTAAAACCATATATGAATTGACCCATATGGGAGGGTAAAAGTGACTGTCCACAAAAGATGGAAGACTGAAGGTCCAGGCCATGGGGAGTCCACAGAAGTTCATACAATCAGCCAATGTGCACTTGAATAGGCAGCTCCACTAGAGACAGGAATCAATCTCTACAAAGCAACAAACAAGACAGAGGGGGGCTCCAGCTAAGTGCAGCATTAATATACTCCTTTAACCACTTGCCGTCCAGCCGCTGTATATAAACGGCTGGACGGTGGCAGTCCAGGGGCGGGTTGCCGTTCATAAACGGCGCCCGCCATTTTTGACTGTGCGCACTCCCTGGGAGTGTGCAGCACCGCGATCCGGTGCCCGCTGTGTCCTCCAGACACAGTGGAACACCAATCGCCGTACGGGACCTCTGTGCGAGGTCCCCATCATGTGATCACTGATTGGCCAATCAGTGATCACATGCAGAGTAGTAAGCAAGATGTCACTTCTGACAGCATTGCTTACTACTGTACGTGTGAAATCTGAATGATCACAGAGGTCACATGGTACAGGGCTATTCACAACAGCCTTGTACCATGTAACAAGCTGTGACCAATCACAGCTCACACAGTATGTCTCAATGGCTGCAGGAATGCAGCCAGAGAGAAGGAGAAATGATTGCTTTTACAGCCTTTATGGGTGTAAAAGCAATTAGTGTAAAAAAAAAAAAATCATCACCCCCCACAAGTAGTACAGTGTCACCATGGTGACACTGTACTGCTAGGGTGACAGTGTGTAAAAAAAAAAAAAAATAAATAATAATAATATAAAAAAAAAAAAAAAAAAAATGTAAAACAAAATTTACAAAAATTATAATTTTGGTTATAAACTAATTTGTGTTTATTAAATGTCACATTGGGCAGATCACACGATAGCACATGCAGGCAGGGCCCGCAGTCCACCCCAGAAGAGCCTGAAATCTGTCCCCGAGGAGTCAGTAGTACAACGCCTGACGCCGGCTTCTGTCTGTATGCAATAATGATTCAGTATCTATTTCTGATTGTTTTTCTCTGTGTCCTCAGCGGTTTATGATATAGTGGAAGAGAGGATGGAAAATGAGCCGGACTTCCAGTACATCCCGGAGAAAACACCCAGAGACAGCATTCACTCTGAGGACGATGCCCTGAGGGAGTCGATGATACAGTTGGCTGAGGGTCTGCTCAACGGGACGGTCCTGGCACAGTTTGATGTAATGCTTACTTAAAGGGGCTCTCTACTCCAAGGGATAGTTCAGATATGGAAGGACCATTGAGGGCCAAGTCTCTCCGTAACTTCAGTATCCCCCAGTTCTTAGATTTCTTTATCTACCTGCTGCAGCCATTAGTAACAAATCTAAAAACTTCCTGTTGGATTTTAATTTAAAAGTTTCAAAACCAAAAAAAAAATAGGTATAGCTCAGCAACACAAGCACATTTTTATATGTTTTATCTCTTTAAAAACACTGTGCAAATACAGATCTGACAGAAATCCAGTGAGCTGCACAGTCAGTAAGGACGCATGCACAAGGCTTCCAAAAACATGTTTTTCCCTTTTTTTATGGATCTGAACCAGGGGCGTCCCTAGGCAGATGTGGGGGGTGCGCGCCGCACGGGGTGACACCTACTGCATGGGGTGACACCGGACCCGCTTCAAGAAAAGGTAATTTGTAAAGCAAGCCGACGATCCCCGTAGGATGGATCGGATCTGCGGATTGAGCATAATGGATCGGAGTCCAATCCATTATGCTCCCCAATCCACAGATCCGATCCATCCTGTGGGGATCGTCGGCATGCAAACCTATACGAGGTGACACCAGACCCTCTCCACGAGAAGGTAAGTTGTAAAGCAAGCTGACGATCCCCGCAGGATGGATCGGATCTGCAGATTGAGCATAATGGATTGGAGTCTGATCCATTATCCTCCCCAATCCGCAGATCCGATCCATCCTGCGGGGATCATCAGCATGCAAACCTATACGGGGTTACACCAGACCCTCTCCACGAAAAGACAAGTTGTAAAGCAAGCCGACGATCCCCGCAGGATGGATCGGATCTGCAGCTTGAGCATAATGGATAGGAATCCGATCCATTATGCTCCCCAATTCGCAGATCCCATCCATCCTGCGGGGATCGTTAGCATGCAACCTATACAGGGTGACACCGGACCCGCTCCACAAAAAGGTAAGTTGTAAAGCAAGTCGGCAATCCCCGCAGGATGGATCGGATCTGTGGATTGAGCATAATGGATCGGAGTCTGATCCATTATGTTCCCCAATCCACAGATCCAATCCATCCTGTGGGGATCGTCGGCTTTTTTTAAAACGTACCTTTTCATGGAGAGACCAGTTAACACCGTATAGGTTGCATGACAACGATCCCCACAGGATAGATCAGATCTGCGGATTGGGGAACATAATGGATCATACTCCGATCCATTATGCTCAATCCGCAGATCCGATCCATCCTGCGGGGATTGTCGGACGGGGTGTCACCAACTGTTACCGCACTGGGTGACACCAACCCTAGGGACACCCCTGATCTGAACACAGGTGTATGTTTTGATGTGACCCCTATGCACACAGCAAGTAACTAGGGCAGACCTGAAAAATCTGCATACTTGGTCCTCGTATGGACTGTATTTTAGGTTGTACGCCTGTAAACGTATGTTCTAATGTTTAAATGCGTAAAGTGTGCAGCGTAAATTAATTCTCTATTGGAGTACAAGAGCTGCTTGTGTCCTAGCCATAAAGGATGCTAGATGGAAAAGCCGTCTGTGCCCTAGCAATAGAAGGATTCTAGGAACCAGATGCCGCCTGTACCCTAGCAACAGAAGATGGCTAGGAAGCGTCTGCCGCCTGCACCCTAACAACAAAAGGATACTAAGCAGTAGAAGCTGTCAATGTCCTTGAAAGAGAATGATGCCTAGGCAGCAGGAGGCGCCGCCTGGTGGCAAAGCCGCCTGCACCCTAGCAACAGAAGTTTTCTAGGCCACAGAAGCCACTTACGTACTAGCCACCTGCAACAGAAGAAGGCTAGGAAACTTCTGCTGCCTGCATTCTAACTACAGATCGATGATAGGTAGCAGAAGCTGTCTGTGTCCTCGCAAGAAAAGGATGCTAGGCGGCAGAGAGCGCCTGTATCTTAGCAATATAAAAAAAACTAGGCGGGTTCCTTCTATTAGTAGTGTCTAGTCAGTGGCACAGTCACCACAATTTTGGCCCTGAGCAGCAGTGGCGGCCAGTAGATTAGTATAGTAAGTATAGTATACTAAACACATATAAATATTCCTAAAATGTTACATACATACAGAAAACAGAGCACTTTGTATGCTGGATCTTTCTGCCAGCTTACGCCAGCAAAACCCTGTATACGTGTTGCTGTATTTCCATATGGCCATGTATATGAAGCCTAAAGGTTTGGCTTCTTCAGCTTGTGAACTGAGCCTTTCCTGTCCTCCTTTTCACTACTTATATAGTATCCAATGAGAGTGCTCACTGACCACTGGATCACTCAGGAGCAGCACCATGGATAGGGTGGGGGCAAAGCTTTGATGTCAGCTTTAAAGAAACATTCCAGAATAAGGAAAGTGTGCAAACATATTTTTTTCTGGTTATTAAAGCTCACAACAAACACCTTGTGGTCAGGGGTGGACTGACAACTCATGGAGCCCCCGGGCAATAGGGGATCATGGGGCCCCTGTGTCCTTGTCCAAACTCAAAAAAGCCTATGAAAAAGGTACCAGGGGCATCTCATGGGGCCCCCTACTGACCCCAGGCCCTTGGGCAGTGCCAAGTTTCCAAATGGTCAGTCCGCCCCTGTTTGTGGTCCATTTTAACAGTTGACCCTAGGTTCACATCTATGCGGGTGGTGCCGCTGCGGATCTGCACGAAAATCCGTGCAGCCGCACCACCCGCACAGAGAAATGCGGACCCGAGGGCGGGTGTCATTAGTTCTAATGGCACGCCGCCCACACTGGAAAACGCAACCGTACTGGGAACCGAGGTTCCCATGTGGGCTGCGTTTTCCAAAGAAGTGCAGGGACTTCTTCCCGGCGTGTCACGGGCACGGGAGTCCATTTAAATGAATGGGCTCTCATGCCCATAAAAAAAACACGGCCCGAATGGCCACATAGATGTGAACCGGGGGTAAATGGCTGACAGGTACACTTGACGTTTTTTATGGAAGGTTGTCACTAGTTTGTATAAGGGGCATGGCTTAATATCTACCTTCCAAATTCCCTAAATCTAATCATTTATTTGTAATCACAGTACTTCCTTTCCCCTGTGATGCTAGAATCGAAGGTGCTCTTCAAAATCAACTTTAAAGGAAACCTTTACTTTTTCCACAGGGGGTAAAACAACAGGTTCTCTTTAACCACTTCCCATCCGGCCGTTGTATATAAACGGCCGGATGGTGGCAGTGCAGGGTCGGGTGGCCGTTTATAAACGGCCTCCCTGCACCCTGCTTGTGCGCGCTCCCTTGGAGCGCGCAGCCCCGCGATCCAGTGCCCGCTGTATCCTCCGGACACAGTGAAACACCGATCGTCGGACGCAGATCACATGCAGAGTAGTAAGCAAGATGTCACTTGTGACATCATTGCTCACTATGTGTGAAATCTGTGAATGATCACAGAGATCACATGGTACAGGGCTATTCACAACAGCCTTGTACCATGTGACAAGCTGTGACCAATCTCAGCTCACACAGTAGTTCACAATGGCTGGAAGAATGCAAACAGAGAGAAATGATTGCTTTTACATCCTTTATGAGTGTAAAAGCAATCAGTGTAAAAAAAAAAAAAGAAAGAAAATCTTCATTGTACTGCTAGGGTGACCGTATGTAAAAAAAAAAAAAACAAATAATAATATACAAAAATAAAAAAAATGTTTAAAAATTATAATTTTTGGTTATAAACTAATTTGGGTTATTATTTTTTTTTACTAAAAAGATAACAGAATAAATTTTGGCCAAGATCTATGATGAAATACTACTTATTTGCAAAATTTTATAAGGAAAACACTTTTTTTTTTCAAAATTTTTGGACGTTTACATTTACGTAGCAAAAAAAAATAAAAATCCCAGTGGTGAATAAATACCACCAAAATAAAGCTTTATCTGTCTCAAAAAAATGCTAAAAAATTCATATGGGTACAGTGTTGCATGACTGCACAATTGTCATTCAGAGTGTGATAGCGCTTAAAGCTGAAAAATGGCCTGGGGACAGGGAAGGGGGGGAAAGTTTCCGGACTGGAAGGGGTTAATGCTGCCCTCTCCAGCAGCACATATTGGCCTTTTTTATGTGTTCCTGGGCTGAGTGAAGAAATATGTACAGTATGTGATTCCCTTCCTCTTCCTCTCATGTGACAGCATGTGGTGATTGGTCAGATGCCATCACATAGGGGGGGGGGGGGGGGGGAGAGTCCTGAGCCTTTTACTCGCAGCTGAATAGAGCGGCAGGTACGGTATCTACTACGAGTAAACTTGTTGCTTTTCCCAGCAAGGTTTAAAGCTCAAGTTTAGTTGAAAAAAAAAAAAAGTATTTTTTACAGCTTTACATTAATGAATGTAATGAAGAATGTCCCGTGATGTGCATGCGGCTGGGTTTGTAAGAAAGCCTTTTTCAACCAGGGTGCCCTCTGGGATCTTCAGGGGTGCCTGAAAATTCAACAAACTGCCCAAAAGTTTTTATATAGCCGGGGGGGGGGGGGGGGGGGGATCAAGCCTGCAAGCTTTATGACCTTCGGCATCGGGTGGACCAATTGCAGGTGTCCTAACAACTGATAATGTCATTGGTTGATAAGGAGGATTTCTGGTGCCTGCACAGCATCCTTGTTTACTCCTCTTCGTTAGCACTGGGGTCACTGAGTGTATCTGTTTTGAAGTGGCTCTAAAGGCAGGTTTTATGTCTTAATTCATTCTATCATTAAGATACCCCCCCCCCAACCACACCCACCCCACCACACACACACCCACCCCACCCCCCACCCCACCCCACCCACCCCACCCACCCCACCCCCACCCACCCCCCACCCCACACACACCC